AAGGTATAGATAGGAACTCTCAGTCTGGGGCAAGTGATGCTCTGTCTTCTTGGTGCTTGGGGGGGGGCAACAGTGGGAGGGCTTCTAGTGTCCTGGCCCCACTGCTGGACCTCCTGATTGCACCTGGTATTTTTGGCCACTGTGTGACAGAGTGTTGGACTGGATGGGCCATTGGCCTGATCCAGCATTGGCTTCTCTTATGTTCTTACCCTCAGGGGCCTCAAAGAGTAGATGGAACAAAAAATTAAAGGCACACACTCAGGCACAGGCTTCTATAGAGCTAAGCCCAAATTCATAACAGAGAGCCAATGATGAAATGCACCTAGGCAGCCTTCCCATTGCCCGAAGGAATGAGGACTGGACTCTGTTTAGTGATTCATCTACAACACATAACCATATAGGGACACCATACAAAAGTTGTGAGATCACCACTGAGTTAAAAACTCTAGTAGCAGCTTAAATATACTGTGCCTCATTAGAGAAAAAGAAGTGTAATATTGCCTTCATAGTAGCAATAGATTTCTGCTTAGCCAGTTGTTTATGACCTCTCCAGGACAAAGTAGATTGAAATAAAACGGCCAAATATGTAAAAGAGGAAACTTGCAAAATCTTCCACCCATTAAGAATCCTTTTCTCTTTTTTTTTGGTCAAATGACAAGATACAAACTTAATAATTTTAGTTTTAGTAAAATTAATAGATCCTCATGCAGGCAATAAGTATGGAGCCTTTTTAGAGCCTGGAAGAGGCTGATCCGAATTTGAGAAAGTAAAACTGAGTTGGATGGCCATTAGCAAAGATGGCTTTAAAAGGCCAAATACTGGGCTCATAGTGAGGAGGGCTGTAGGCCTTCTTTGTATTCTTCTTATAGGTTTCTATGTGTCTATGTTTGGAAACAACAATCTGAACCAAATGGACTTGGTCCAATCTAAAAGAGTTGATCCTGTGTTCTATGTAGTGTTCCCAGGTCCATCAGTGTTCCAACCTTTTACTTCAGTTGGCCATCTTGCTTGCATTTCTCCTTTCATCTTAAGAAAGGAGCCTGAACTCCTTCCTTAGTTGCTCCTTGCATAATTTCCAAGCATATGCACTTCTCTGTCATAGAGGATGTACCACGTCTCCTCACCTCCAGTCTCCAAATATGGTATCTTTCTGGCAAGAGAATAACTTTTCAATAATTTTGTAAAAATCCAGTTTCTGATGTGTTTCCATATTATCATTTACCTTGATGAGTTATTGGTACTCGTGTTGCTGTTCATAATGTGCAGTCCAGAAAAAGGGCAGCTTTCTTCAAGTCTAAATGAGCCTCGTGCTAGTGCCTGGCAATCTTTTAGGAAACTGGATCATGAACTCCTCTTCCCCCTGGATTCTAAGGAGGTCTTCTCTAATAATAACAAGTTTTAACCTAAGGGTAAAGAGAAATTCAGGTCTCCTGTGTGCTAACACATTGTTCAGTAAACCAAAGTGCTGGAGTGGCCAGATGTTATTTTTATGGGATTTGTTTTGACTTGAAGCCAAAGTAAATTGGCTTCACATCAAAGAATGATTTTCTGTCCAGAGAAGCATGAGACGAAAATTGTCAGACTACAGAAAATGATACTACTATTGACACAGCAGAATTGTCTAATAGCTGTGCTGTTATTACAGACATTCTGTGCATTTAAGAGATACTGTTGTGTATATTGTTTTTTAAATACTATTTTGTTGTAGATTTGTCAAAGTTGAAACAGATTCTTCTTTGAGAAAAAGGTGGATAACTTTTTTCCCCTTCCTATTTCCAGCTTTGGCTTTAAATATTGCTGCTGAAGAATTAAAGGAACAGAGCAAGATTCTGGTATCTCAGGTACTAAATTTTCTGTCCTTTCACAAAAGCACCAGCCTCTCTGAAGCAGAGCTGGCCCATAAATTTGAAGTCTTGTTGCACACAGACTTTCTTGAAATGAAGTGAAAATGTAGCTTCTCTGCTTGGTAGATTATGTCCCCTGTGTTAGGTTTTTGTAAGCTTTTTTGCTTTTCCTTAAAAAAAACTTCCATTATAATACAGCTGCCCCTTCTTAAATTTTAGCAGTAGTTTTTTGTCTCTGCCCCATGGTTCCATTCCTGACTGCTCTGGTAATGTTACGGCAAGTTGGTCACATGAATGAGACAAGTGGGTCGTTATTTTTCCAGAGCCAGATATCCTGGAGTGAGAAGTAGCTGTACCATTGGACCCTCCTATGTTATTTCTCATATTCTAATATACTAATTACTGGAGGAGTGTTAGATGGAGCTTTGAGGAAATACGAACCATATTGCTTTTCTAACATAAGAACTAGCCTTCATTCCAGGGTTTATAATTTAGGCACCATGTAATGTTTTGCCATTTCTTTCTAATCTCTGCTAAATAAGTTGAACTAAACTTGTGATGGTGTATTTGGTACAATCTAAACAGAGGGGACAAGCCCAGTCTCTCAAGCGATATCCGTTAAATGGATGGCATAACAAATAATCTGCTTCACACCCCCTCTGATCTAAACACAATGAATGGTGGAGCAAGTTGACTCCCAGTTTCCTGAATGAGCAAAATATGTATATGCAGGGCTCTAGTCGGGGGGGAGCTCTCAGGTACGGAGCTCCGGAAGAGAACCTCTAGGGGGCGGGGCGGTCACGTGGTGAAGCCCCGCCCCCTTCTTTACCCCGCCCTCTGCTTCGATCCTCATTCCGTTTGGGAATGAGGATGAAGCAGGAGGGTAAGTAGCCGGGCCTTCTGACACACTTCCGGTGATGTCAGGGGGTGTGGCCTTCTGTCACTTCCGGTGATGTCAGGGGGCGTGGCATATGCAAATAAGTTATGCTAATGAGTTATGCTAATGAGCTCCGGCAGCTCTTTTTCTACAACAAGACCCCTGTGTATATGCAAGAAGATACTCCCAGAGGTATTCAGGCCCCAAGGGGTATTACAAGTAGGAGATAGCACCTTGTACATAATGACTTTCAGCAGAACTGCATGTGTGTGTGGGAAGAAAGAGCAATTGGTTTCTCATTCCATCAGGAAAAACTTTGAAGAGAACTGCATCCGTTACATTTGGAGAAGCTCACAGACCAGTTGCAAAGGAAGAGAGCCATCAAAATGTGTGAGAACTACAGCTGAAGTCAAAACGTTTTTTGCTTCTCAGATACCCTTTGGTCCATTTTGCTTAGAGCAGTTCACATAAGCATAACCAACACATTAGATAGCTTTACCAAAAATAGGTAAGCATTTGTAGGAAAGAGCACAGTATGATACATACTTTGGTGTAGGTATTTGAAGGATCACATTCTCTTTGTCAAATGAGTTAATTAATCTTTAATCAATAATATGGTCCACCTACGTGGCTGAGGATTTAAAGACTTCACCCTTACTTTGGCATGCCTTAGGTCTCTGTTTGTCAAAACATGTCTAAGACAGTATCCAGATTCTGAAGATTCTTCTTTATCTTTTCCTGTAACATTTAAATATCACTGGACACCAAGTTTAATCAAGGTCTCATCCCTGACGTTTTGAAATGTTGCAGATGCAGAAGTAATGCCAGAGTGTTATCTTTTATAACAATTATCTGTGTGTATTGATAGTGAGGTATTTGAGAAGTGAAAGCTCAGTCTTGATTTGGAGGTAAAAATAACTGGATTTATAGTTGCTTTGAAACCTGTAGGAAATCCAAGCACAAAGTGCACTGTGTCACCTATTTTAATTACAGGCACCACAAGTGTTGTCTGTTCACTATGAGAAACAGGTGTCAGAACTCCAGTCTGCATGAAAGAGTCCAACTCACCTTCCCCAAGTGATCTGAAAGTACAAAGAAACACTTATGGTTTACAGTACTTAGGTTAGCAGTCAGATTTCACTGAAAGTTTCACTATTATATTGTTCATATTCTCCAGTTCCTCTTTGAATTGTTTAGAATATACAACCAGGATTCCTTTGGAGTTTCTTGTGATGAAAAAATTGTTTTAATCTGGCTTCAGTTTACTTAAAGCTGTTTAAATCAATTAAATGGTGCAGTAAGACTTTCCTTCCAGTTTTGTTGCTATACATAGTATCCCTTTTTGGCCCAAACGTACCTGTATTGTTTTTCAGTACTGTGAAACTTTCTAGACAGCATCTGAAAACAGAGATTATTGTTGACATCACATTTCTGGTATCTGGCTCCATTATGGTATGAACACCTTCAGATTCAGAGTGTGAACGTAATGCCTTTCTTATTCTAGCTTCAAATAGCACATTCAACACAGGCTTATGTTCACTACCACTTGAATTGTCTTCCTTTAAATTTTGTACTACAGACCCTCATCCTTTCTGATGCCCAGTTGTCATGGCCACCTTCGTAGGTCTGTTGTAGATTGGTTGGCAGAGCAACAGGCCACTGCAATGTGTTCTTTCTTCTGGAATTGACTAGAAATAAGTTGGGTTGACCATTCCCTCTTGGCATGTATACTCTGATCACAGTGTGTATGAGTCTGCCTTTCATAAGGCTTGGCTCAATTCTGACTGAGAAGATGAGTTTCCCAATTCATGCCTTATTCTGGAATGGTCATTTTCAACAGGTTTCAAAGCACTTTGAATAGTAGTGTTGAGACAGTTATTAACCTTTTTTGTATCTGATATATAAACCATCAACAAATCTTTCTCTCAAGGCATTATTTAATGTTTATCCGAATTAGCTGTATGCTTACATCTTCCTGAATGAAGTTACAAACTGCAGTTGACTCTCCACTTGCTTGATGTTGCTGGTGGAATATGTAGCATCCAGCAATTATTAATGCAACAGGAGAAAAATGAGATCTCATAGATTCTGTAATGTCAGCATAAGCAGCATAGCACCAGATACAAGTTTGGATTTTTTTGTTTCTAAGGAATGGAATACAGACTACAAATTGCTCAGACCATTCAATATATAGTACCCATGTTGCATTCATTGAATCCCCCAATACTGCCCAGAAAAGTTACCATTGTTTGTTTAAGGTTTAATGTGTTTCTTTTGTGTCTTGGATTTCCATACCCTTCTAGGTAGTTTTTGCAAGTACAGACTGTTGTTTTTCTAGATTGCCACAAAATGGCTTCTTCAGTTAATTTCACTCTTGCAGCCAGAAATTGCTCCACTTTTTAGTTTCCCATTTCCTATTGCCTTTTCCAGTTGTAAATATCTCATGCTTGTCTTTCATAAAGCCCAGTACACAAAACTGTAGTGGGTCAGAGGATCCTCATTGCCAGATGTTATATATTTGTCCCCATTTCTGCAGAAATGGTTGACCTCGTAGCAACCAAGCAGTTAGGGTAAGTTTGTCTCTTTTCCTGAACGGAGAATCAAAGAAACGGGAATTAGAAATGAAGGAAGTGTAAGATTTTAAGGAACAGTGCACCACAATCAGTACACCAGAATCAAGTCAAATAGTAGGGACTGCAGTCTATTACTTGTACTTTCAAAAAGGGCCTTTGTCTTTTCTTGAGATGCTCCCATGTCTGTTTAATGGGAAACTGTTTTATATATCTGCATGAAGGAATATGAAAATCAAGAATCTACTGAGAGCCTCTGATTCAGGAGTGGGAAGGAAGGAGATTCATAAAAAGCCTAGATTTGACTCACAGATCATGTCTTGAGTATTATGGTTTAAAAGACAAGGGCTGGATTAGTTGCTCCATTAGGACTCCTCAAATGTTCAGAATTTATGTAGTGCTTTTTCCTAACTTGTGCATTTGGCATGTCCAGCCATTTTGTCACCACAGCCTCCTGGTAATCCTGGTGTGTACACTTCTTCAGGTTAAGGGCTGAATAGCAACAGATATTTTTACAACTTGGTTTCCTGGGGGATGGGGAGCATGAACTCTGCTCAAGTACAAAGCTTAAATTCTGACTCAAATATGTGAAAATAACATGAAATTACTGGGTTTTATTTCAGCATCTGCAGCAACCTTTTTGTATTTATTTAGACTGCCATGTAATTTGGATTTGAGGTGTTTTCCTAAGAGTAATATCCCCATAAATACTTTACTGTAGGTCACATATCAATGTGGCACTTCAGTGAGGTGTTCTTTACATATTTATTTATTTTGTGTGGCATTTTGGTGTTTAGTCCAAACTAAGACAACAAAGACATTTAAAATAGTGAACTTAATCCTAGTAACTGATTTCCTCCACTTAAAATGTTAATTTGTTTCTGTTCATTAGACAACAGCTCAATTAAGCTGGATGATCATGCAGTCTAGCAGATAATAATGTGACCAGGAAAGTATCTGACTCAAGTCTGATTTTAGGGATAAACTTACTCAATAACATTAGGTAACCAACAATTCTCTTAGTTTCCGTCCCATCTGTAATGTGAGATACCAGTACTGGCCTACCTCTTTTGTGAGGATTGATGAGAATGATGTGATGCGCTGTACATACTTGAAATGTTCTGCACTGCTAAATATTTATTTGAAAGTAGGAACATGATTTTTGTACTAGTTATGGCTGCTTAGTGTCTTAAGTTGTGCTAAATCTATAGCATTTGATTCAGTGATTTAGCTGTGCTTGTACAATTACATTATTTGCATTGTCATATGGTGTTTGGTTTCTTACTACAGACTTCTGAAAAAAATGGAAACTCACGTAAAGTAAGCAAAGGTAAGTAAGCTTTTCTGGCAAGTCATTCATATTTCTTGTAGATTGGCTGTGTAATCCTAAACAGAGAAACACTTTTAGAATTGCACTGCAAATCATGTAGAATGAATACATTATTGTCACATTATCCTGAGGTTTACCTGCTAGCTGTGCTGCAGGGTTCTCACCCCTGGATATGTACACCTGCTCCCCTTCTCCTGTGCAAGGTTCCTGTGTTCTGTACTTCTGTTACATTCAACTGTCTTTAGTCTTGATTAGTGACCTACTGATCCTGGTAGAGGCTTCCCTTAACATCCCATTTGGCAAGGTCCCTTGACCTTTTCCTGGGGCCTTAATGGGATTATCGTAGTTACATTGTTACAAATATGTTTGTAAATGTGTTTCTGTAAAATGATACCATGTAGTACACAGTGGACAACAGAATACTTAATGAACGTGATGATAGTAAGCTCTAAAGTGAATTTATCTAGACACTCAGCCCCTGAAATTGTATTTGCAGAGCCCACAGTTAATAGTCTTTTGGCACCTCCTTTCATCACAAGATTGTCAGTGGGTTTTAGCATGTGCTAACTTGCTTTTTACAGTGAGTGCTGACATGAATAAAAAGCACAGCAAACATTTCAAGGATAGCATTTTGCAAGTCTGTTGTACACTCTTCCAAAAGACAGCTAAGTGATTTTACAGGAAACATACTTAACTGAGTTTACCAATTATTTCAAATTAAAGAATATCAGCTTTTGCACTTTAAGCTTAAAATAAGTCAAATTCAGAAATCTAGCAGCACCCCTACAACATATTTATAGCACATGTAATAACAGTAATTTGGTTCAAGCTTGCTTTGTATCTAAATTGTTTTCTGCAGTTCATCTTGAATATCTTGCGTGCAGCAGCAGTCAGAAACACAGGCTTGTTAACTGGTAAAACTGGAAGTGTTAGTGTGGAAGAACAGCTGTATCAAATAATTTAGCCATATTTATACAGTTTCCTTTCCCACTCTTGTGACTGTCTGGTGGAGTAAGCTACAAACATAACAATTCCTATATTGCAAACTTGACCTTTTTATCAGTACTGATGGAAATCAAAATGATTAAAGTTAACTGATGAGCATTATGAGGACAAATCTACAGACCATCTAAAATTAATTTTATCACAAAACTGCATTAACAGTTTAATCGTCAGAACACATTCTTAAGAGAAAACCACATTGAATAGATCTAAGCAATGCTCCCTCTAAGCTCTGGAGTCTGTGAACAAAAATTCTACTTTGTGAGCTACTGGCATTAAAATTGTGAGCAAGCGATTTGGCTACTGCATAAATTAGTTTGCTCTGGAGCCATCCTTCCTGAGCTAAGGCAAAAAATTGTGTGAGCTGGAGGCTAAAAAACTGTGAGCCAGCTCACACTAACTCAGCTTAGAGGGAACACTGGACCCGAGTATCTCTTATCCCCATTCCTGAGAGATTGGGAACAATTTTTCCTTGTCTGAGTTGAAGCAGAAAAATTAAGCAAAGATTCTTTCAGTTTAAGTCCAGAAGTACATTCTAATGAAGTGGAGGGGGAGCAGGGAATAAACTTCTCAGGGAGAGCTTTAACGTCTGCTTTTAAGGAGTTCAAATTTTTGTGAGACAAACCTTTTATCTGTTAATTTTGAGAAATCAAAAATTATGGTATTCTTGAGATACTGGAGACATTTCAATTGGTGCATCAAAGGTAACAATATTGAACAAGTTAAATATTTTAAATATTTGAGAGTTCTGTTTTAGTATAACAGTTGTTGGATAACACAGTGGAAACAAGTAATAAACTTGGCCAATTGTAGCTTGTCCGCGATCGCAAGATTCTTTTATTTGAAGGTTAGCCAATTTGTACCTGTAGCTATTCGTGTTTTTAATGCTATATCGACATCCCAAATATTTTATGGGATTCCCATTTGGATTAGTGCTTTCAATCAACATGTTGAGCAAATCCAGGCGATGTTCCTGTGCTGCATTTTGGGGGTCCCAAACTGTGTAAGCTGTGCAGCCATGTGCTTGGAGACAGGACAGTGCCTCCTACAGAGTAGAACTTGGCTCTTAACCTTGACATTTTTTTTAACACCTTCACTATAAGGCAGAATCTACAAGTTAAATCCGTTTTATGCTGTCTGATTGCTTATTTACATAGTATTAAGGCCGTTTAAGTAATATAGATATACAAAGTGAACCTTTTATAAAATAGTGGCTGTGGCTGTATTGACTTCTGTAAGACCTCTGTGCTGGAAGGCATGAGCTAACAACCTGCTGATGCAATGAATAATGTATGTTCCTAAACCAATTTTCAGCAAGGAAGATTGCAATACATTTTACTCAACATATTTACAAACTATGGGGTATCTGAACACCTACTGATACCAGCTACCTGATACCAGCTACCTGAAAATTAGTGAGAAGATGGAATGATTGTACAACTTTCCCTTTCTTGAAAGCACCTATAGCCTCTCCCCCTTTCCCGCTTCCTTTTCTTCCTTCCCACCTACCACCCAAACTATCTTTATCTGGCCCCCTGTCTTCAGCTTTTCCTCCTTCCCTCCCCCTGGCAGCCTCTACCTAGGAAAACTGTGGCCCAGTTGCACACTGAGGAACCAGCAAGGAATTTGGGAGGACCTCACTTTCCCCTGTTTATCCCTCCCCACACTATGTCCTCTGTCCCTACCCTTGGAAATCCCCATATCCTCACCTTTCCCGGCTTCCTTCTACTTTCCTACCCACCAAGCAACCTAACTTTTATCTGCGTGCCATATTCAGATATATTTATTTACTTCATTTATACCCCATCTTTCTTAACAATGGGGGCCCAAAGCAGCGTATCGTTCTCCTTCAGTCCATTTTATCCTCACAAAAAACCTGTGAGGTAGGTTAGGCTGAGAATGTGTAATGGGCCCAATCACCCAGTGAGCTTCTATAGCAGAGTGGTAATTCAATCCTTGATCTCCCAGATCCTAGTTTGAAACTCAAACCACTACATCATAAGGACATAAGAGATGCCAATGTTGGATCAGGCCAAAGGCCCATCCAATCCAACACTCTGTATCAAACTGTGCCATCAGCAGGTCCACCAGTGGGGCCAGGGCATTAGAAGCCCTCCCACTGTTGACCCCCCCAAGCACCAAGAAGACAGAGCATCACTTGCCCCAGACTGAGAGGTCCTATCTATACCTTGTGGCTAATAGCCACGGATGGACCTCTGCTCCATATGCTTATCTAATTCCCTTTTGAAGCCGTCCATGCTTGTGGCTGCCACCACTTCCTGTGGCAGTGAATTCCATGTGTTAATCACTCTTTGGGTGAAGAAGTACTTCCTTTTATCCATTCTAACCCGACCGCTCAGCAATTTCATGGAGTGCCCACGAGTTCTTGTATTGTGAGAAAGGGAGAAAAGTACCTCTTTCTCTACCTGCTCTTTCCCATGCATAATCTTATAAACCTCAATCAATCATACTGGCTTTCACAGGGTGGCTGCTGTTGGACAGTAGCAAGCAGCCAGGCCTGGGTGAGTTAGGCCATTCAAATGGTCATCTGGCAGTTGCTGTCAGGCCTGACTCCAATAAGTCCTCCCTCAAGGCCAGGACAGCCCTGGAAAGGGCCCTGTCCTCTCCCTGAGTTTCACTGACAGAAACCAAGGACTGAAAAGCTGGCAATAGTGTTGCAGTTGCCTAGTAAACTCCCACAATGGCCACTGAGTTTTTTAATATCATGTGTGCTGCTTCTATTTGCATTTTTTTAAAAATCCACAGATCTTTAAAAAGTGGGGCTTTTCTCAGGTTTGTAGAAAGAGCTGTCTTGTCTGTTCATGGTTTCAGTCTCTGGATTTAAACATCCACAGATTTGGTTGTGTTGAGAATTATATATATTGACTAGGAATAAGGCCCGTTGTGGAAATAAATACAGTGAGCTCTAGAAAGAGGCTCTGGGCAGGTGCCTCAGCCTTGAGCACTCAGTGTCAATTTGCTGAGTGATCTCCAGCCCTCATTCACCAGGAGGGAATGGCTGGTTTGGAGGGCGGAGTCTATGGCATTGTACCTGTCTGAGGTCCCACCCCACCTCCAGGCTCCACCCCTCAAATCTCCAGGAATTTTCCAACCTGGAGTTGGCAACCCTATCTCCTTCCCAGCCAACCATCAACCTACCTTGATCTGCCCCTTTGACTTCAGCTTTCCATTTCCTCCTTCCCTCCCTGCTGGGGAGCAGTTGTAATTCTAAGTGATCTCCAGCCCCCACCTGAAGATTGGCAAAAATGGTTCCCTAGGAGGGACTGGCTGGTTTGGAGGGTTGAGTCTATGGCATTATATCTGTCTGAGCTCCCACCCCTTCTGGAACTTCACCCTCTCCAAGCTCCACCCCTCAAATCTCCAGGCATTTCCAACCTGGAGTTGGCAACACTATCTCCTTCCCAGCTAATCATCAACCTACCTTTATTTCCCCCTTATTCTTCAGCTTTCCAAAAAAAACCCCACCTGCAGCCTCTACCATGCTCTGAAGCCCTGACTGCTACGTCACATTGGCTATCATACAGGGGCCATCTCAGCAGGATAGAAGGACACAGAGTCCACCATTTTCTCCAGGGGAACTGATCTCTGCAATCTGGAAAGCAGTTGTAATTTTGAGTGATCTTCAGCTCTCACCTGGAGATTGGCAACAATGGTTTCCCCCAACAGGCACTAAGGGGAAATGTATTTTACCTCAGAACAGCAACAGCAAACTGTTTAGAATGTTAGAGGCAAAGGCCAATGAGACCGCATATGCACACGACCTCTGTGTTCCGAAGCAAAGGCCAATCAGGCCACATATGCAAATGACCTCTGTGTTCTGGCTGGCTATGGGGGGGAGAGGAACAGCAAACTTTTTAGAATGTTGGAGGCAGGACTCAGGCAACGCAACCAGTGGATAGGGAGACCCTCTGAATGACAGATCAGGGAGCCAACAGATTTGGGAGCGTGTTGGAATGTTCACGGGAGTCCATGACCAAAACAGAGTTATATATAAGGAGAGATATGGATGCTTTGTGAAACAGCAGAATGTTCAGAAATTGTAAGAACACTGTGTGAACTGTTTTTATATCTGTAGGACAAATGTGTACTTGTTTGTACTAGGGCTTGATGAATTATCCATAAAGTTTCTTATTGGGTGAAAACTGTTTACTTTAAGTCAAAGGGTAATTACTGTAGTCCAATACAGAAAAAAATGAAATATTTTTCCTTGTGTCAACTGTTTATACTTTTATTGACTCTTATCTTCCACATCATATTGTATATGTCTGTGCATTGAAATCTTTGTGGCTAATTAGTGAACATATTCAGCAAAATTCAAAATTATATGAGAAATGTTAATCTTTGATCTAAAATGCTTTTTTTCTCTCTCTTTGTTCCTCATAAGATTTGATACTGTCCAGATATCCTTTTTTGTTAAAGTTAACTGCCTGAATAATTGAGATTTTGTTCATGTGGCTTTCATTCCCTTCAATTATTTTTGTTTTCTGATTCACAGAATTAAAAGAAATTGTGTTTGTCATCCAGAGCCAAAGGAATTCTTTTCATTCAAAGAGAGCAGATGACCTAAAACAAAATATTTTAAAACAGGCTGCAGTTCTTGGAAAGGTATGAGTAGATACAGTGGTAAATCTGATGATTAACTACATATAAACCTTCACATTCGAGAAATATGATGTATGCATTATGGATTTCCTCCATTTTATAATTCTTCACTGGATAGTTCTTACCCATTTCACCTGTCAGCCACCCTTTCTGAGGATTACAAAGAAGACAATGTAACACTTCTTTTTAGAAAGGTATCTGGAGGAGATCCAGGAAATTACAAGCAGTAAAGGTACTTCATTCCTCCATCCATCAGACAGCTTTTCATACTTCTTAGAAGGGGAAGGATGTGCACTCAGATAATAAAAAGTCTGCAATAAATAGGAAACAAGGCTCTCTAGAGATGGTTTCAGAGGGGTAACTGCGTTAGTGTGTTGTAGCAAAATAAAACTAAAGTCCAGTGGCACTTTAAGACTAGCAACATTTATTCCAGCATGAGCTTTTGTGATTCAGAGCTCACCTCTTCAGATGCTATTAGCCGAAAATAATTTTCTGCATTTTTATAAATAGAATTATAAAAGGGAAGGGGGGCTTGGTGTGGATCTTGTCCTAAATCTTTCAGGTGTGATTTTCTGTGAAAGAGCCTGAAACACATTAGACATAATGGATGACGAGGGAGGTTCGAGATTCCAGCCTTTCTAACATGTGAACTATTAAGTTACGGCATTTGTGTTAACAAAAAGGTGTTACTGGTGTGGCTGTTTGTACCACTGCTTCTTGGAACCCCACCCCCTTGACAAATGTTCATGGTATCATGAACAAATTCCCCAACCAGGCATGGCCAGCCTGAACTCTCAGTGAGCGTGTGTGCGCGCGTTTGTGTCTAACCCTGGATGCACAAGTTATTTCAGTAAATCTTTATTTTGTTTAAAAGTATCCTTGCCTGGGAATCCCTGTTCACTGCTGGATCTGAACCTGCAAGGTCTGGAGCCCTGCAGTTGGGTCTGATCAGTCTGGGGACATGAGGGTCTAGGACTTCAGGTGCTATTTTGTACCTAACCAGTGGAGAAGTGGAATAAAGTTCCAGAGAGGAATAGGATCTTGTGGTTGGCAGAGTCTTCTGTGCAAAACCAAGCGAGGCACAGTTTGGTTGAATGCTTCATAACTGAAGATTCTTTTTGATCCATGTAGGCTTTGTGAGGTGATTCCTTTTCTGTGTACTCATAATCCTAACCTGCTTTAGGTAGAGCTTCTGCTTTTTTCTAACGATATTTCCCTGTGTATGGTTTTAAAAGCATAGCAAAAATATTTATAGCAAAACAAAACTTCTTCGGAATGTTCTGTTGTGTTCCTGAACGTCAGATGGGTGTCCCATTCCAGATGTTAATAATTAGATGCTTTTAATAGGTATATTTAGGAGGAGTACTAAATTCTGTCAGTTGGAATCAAAATCCAGTATTTTATGGGTACATGATTGGTGGAATTTGTAGCACTGCAACTAGTGAGAAAGGTCCCTTTTAGGAACAAAAACAGCAATTGGGAATTGAGAAGTGACAGGTTGGGAAGTTAAGACTGAAGAGAATAAGCAATGAGATTTTGTAGTTAGAAAGAAAGGAAAATGTTATGTTAAAAGTTAGTATAAACCGGTTAAGGTTACAGTTAAGAGCCAGTTTGTTGTAGTGGTTAGGAGTGCGGACTCTAATCTGGGAGAACCAGGTTTGATTCCCCACTCCTCCACATGCAACTGCTGGTGTGACCTTGGGTCAGTCACAAGTTCTCACAGAGCTGTTCTCTCAGGAGCAGTTCTCAAAAGAGCTCTCTCAGCCCCACCTACCTCACAGGGTGTGTGTTGTGGGGAGGGGAAGGGAAAGGAGATTGTAAGGTGCTCTGAGACTCCTTTGAGTAGTGAAGGGCGAGGTACAAATTCAGTGTCCTCTTCTTCTTAACCATTTAGAATATGTTAGTGTACTATTGCTGTTAAAATTAGTCAAGAGTCAGGGTAAGCAACCCTTTTGGCCTGAGTGCTAAAAAAAGCTCTCAGCATTTACCAGATTCCAGCAAACAAAGGTGGTGGGGTGGGAGATGAGACCTGCAGTTGACCAGAGATCATGAGTACTCCATGGTTTTGCTTTTAGTAATTAATTATTTAAAAATAAAGTTTTGTTTAGAATAACTTTCTAATCTCTCATGCTTGTTTCCCACTTATTAGGTACAGGGCAGGAGGTGGTTTGTCTCTAAACTGCCACTTCAGTATAAGCTTTGGTAAAGCTGATGCTGTGTTCTGAGATGTGTGGTTTAACGAAAATCTGAGTGGTGTAAGTGGAAAGGAGGCAGAGGTTCAGTCGTCTGCTATGTACACAAAACAATGGGGGTGCTGCTGGCCATTTCACCACAGCAGATCAAACTTAAAATGACTCTGAGAAATACCATAATATATCCCCCCTTTAAAAAATTAAACAATTCACATTGGTTCAGAATTTTGCATCTGAGTGGACTATAAATGAAGTAAATAAAAGAACCAAATGGCTTTAGAATCTGTATTTATTATTAATCGAGAGGGCGGTGGCGGTACAGCTACAGAGCTTTCTGGATGATGCTTCCACCTTAGACCCCTTCCAGTCCAGCTTTCGCCCGGGGCATGGGACAGAGACAGCCCTTACTGACGACCTCTGGAGGCATCTGGATCGAGGTGGTGTGGCAGTATTGCTGTTGTTAGATCTGTCGGCCGCGTTTGATACGGTTGACCATCAGCTGCTGACCCACCGTCTTGCTGACGTGGGGATACAGGGGCTTGCCCTTCAATGGCTTGCCTCTTTTCTCCAGGGTCGGGGACAAAGGGTGGCGCTAGGGGAACAGCAGTCCCGAAGGCACCCGCTTGAATGCAGCGTGCCCCAGGGGGCTGTGCTTTCCCCAATGTTGTTTAACATCTATATGCACTCCCTTGCCCAGATTGCCCGGAGGTATGGGCTAGGGTGTCATCAATATGCAGATGACACCCAGCTCTATCTGATGTTGGGTGGCCGGTCGGACTCCAGCCCAGAAGATCTTAACCGGGCATTACAAGCCGTGGCTGTTGGCTTAGACTGAGCCGGCTGAAACTAAACGCAGTGAAGACGGAGGTCCTGTGCCTAAGTCGGTGTGGTTTGGGGACGGGGTTCCCTCTCTCAGCCTTTGATGGGGCACCTTTGGTGCCAGCGCCAGAGGTTAGGAGTCTGGGAGTGCACCTGGATTCCTCCCTAACTATGGAGGCCCAGGTGGCAGCCGCCGCCAGCTTGGCTTTTTATCACCTATGGCTGATTCAGCAGTTGGTCCCCTTCCTCGACGACCTGGCTACAGTAATCCATGCAACCGTCACCTCGAGATTAGACTACTGTAACGCTCTCTACATGGGGCTGCCTTTATCGCAAGTTCGGAAGCTGCAGTTAGTGTAGAATGCTGCAGCCAGGCTTCTGATGGGTTTCCCTAGATGGGAGCACATTCGGCCTGTGCTGAAAGCGCTGCACTGGCTGCCAATAGCTTTCCGAATTCGCTTCAAGGTCCTGGTACTTACCTTTAAAGCCCTACATGGCCAGAGTCTGACGTACCTGAGGGACCGCCTTTCCCCATACATACCCCAGAGAGCACTACGGTTGGGGGCCCAACATCGCGTAGTGATCCCAGGCCCCAGGGAGGCTAGGCTTGTTGCAACCAGGGCCAAGGGCTTTTCAGTGGCGGCTCCTACCTGGTGGAATGAGCTCCCAGAGGAGATCAGGGCCCTGTGGGACCTTTCACAGTTCTACAGGGCCTGCAAGACAGAGCTCTTCCGCCAGGCTTTTAATTAGGAACCGCCACTACCACCACCAACAACTATCTTGTGGTAACAACGGGGTGATGGGATGGATCAGTACAAAGATCTAGCTACAGTACTGCGATGGTTCGGTGTCGTTGAAGTGGGCTTTTGGGGAACATCTATAGGTCACCATCCTGATTTGATTAAATTGGTAACATCATTGAGCACTTTATTATTGTTAAATGTGGTTGTTTTATATTTGGCACATGCTGCCCCTGTTTGTAAGCCGCCCTGTGCCCGCTCACAGGGAGGGTGGAATATAAGTGTAATAAATAAATAAATAAATTAGAATTATTTATTAACCATGTCTCTGTGTAGCAAATTGAAACTGGCTTACTATAAAATTAACATAACCTAAATATGATAAGCAACATGCTTCCATATTAAAGAATCAGAATTTTGAATTATCTTCATCCGCTGTTCTTTAACTCTTGCAATTTTGAAGTCCAGTTATTAAGAGCATGATTGTTATATGAGTTACAGGCTGTTAAAATATCGGGGGGGGGGCGGTTCCGGGAGGTCTTGTAGTTTGGCCCTGATTGCCTATTACAACTATAGTGGATTAGAGGCAGGGAGTAGAGTTTATTCCAAGTAAAATGTCTATTCTGCAGCTTAGATGGATATTGGAAAGCTTTGACAGCACAAAATGTGGATCCAACTATGATGCTTTAATGGCATTTCAGACTCTGATTCCACTTACCTGTCACAAGGTTTTACTTGTTGGAACAGGACAATAATGTCAGATGAGAAACCCTATATGTAAATGATGCAAAAAACAAATATGGGATCCAAATACTTTTTGCATGCCAGGTAGAAGCTCTGCTTGACAGCTACAGAAGTAACAGCTCATTGGTGTTGCTGTGCTTGAATGTAGTGACCTGACCTAGAAATTTTGGTGGATTGGAATGTTAATTTGGGGATCAGTACGGAAAGCATCTAGTCTAGAGAAAAGGGGTGGTGGGCAGGTTGCAGATGAGCGTTTTCAGCTTTTAGCACAAAATCTGCTCTCTAAGTATAGCCATGCATTTACTGTTTCATCTGCAGTTTCACCTCCTTTAATAATTTAAAAAGTGCTAGGTTACCACTAGATGTCAGCATTATGTACCTTGTTAAAATGTAATTGGTTTTTTTGCTTTGCAAGTTTTGGAAAAATTCTATGCAAAGGTTGCTTGAAAATCAGTTATCGCCAAATGAAGATGTGTTAAGCATGACAACAGAATTTGCTCATGTCTGC